ATATATATATATATATAAACCTTCAAGAATCAGACAGGAGGGACTTCACAAGAGTGAAGAAAATAATTGCATTGTCTCTGTTTTCAGTTTAGTATATAAGTCTGGGATGTGTTTTTTTCATAGGCAAGAAAAACACTCCGTTTTTATTTTAATGTCAGTCAAGCACCTTGAAGCACTTAAATTGAATTAAATGTAACTGAATTGAGCTGAATATAATTGAATGGGATGGAAGCACAGTGAGAGAGAACAAAAAGTCAACACATTATCTTAGCTCAACAGTCTGTAATGCACCGCGAGCCCTCTTTGACTCTCCATTACGCTACTATAGTATTTTCCATTCTGCTCGATCCCAAATGAGTTTGTCCTGTCCATATCAGTGGTGTGGCTCTGTGTGGAGGCTAGGTGCCTGGTAGCACATACGTACACCAATTCTTCAATCTTTTTAAACAAACCACTCTCTCTTTGTAAGAGTGCTTTGTCTTCTTTTCATTTCTATATTAACTGTGTCTTTGGCCTTCACTCTTTGTTTCTCTCTCTGTAGCTGTATTCAGAATCTGCATTTTTTTTACCTTCAGGACCTTTCAGTTCATGTTATATACTGTATTTTGGGGACACAGAAAATAACATGATGTTCCATCGTAACACATGTGATTATTTGATGATATCTTGGACACACCATAGTCAGTAGTTATGTGAAAATGTTATGTGATGCCTATGTTAATCCAGGCATCTAAAATAATTCAGGTGGTTATAGGTTATAAGGCAGTGCCAAGGCAGTGTCTACGAGCTGCTGGCTCAGGCCATGTTGAGAGCTGTTGAGAGGCAATCAAAATGCTCCCAATCTCATATCTTGCACCTTTAAACTGTCCGGACCACAACCTTTTGTTTTGGTTCACTCTCACTGCTTTCATGGTATCATTTTCATAACAGGCAGCTGTTTTCAGTTAAAAAAAAACAACAACATGAAACCTACTGTACACTGTCTGCTCAGCATCAACTGTAGGACACAGTTAGCAACTAGCTGGTGAATATAATGGACCATTTAGCAGCTAAACAGCCAGAAATGTCCCTCAAGAGTTGGTGGAGATCCAGAATGAGCTAAAAGACAATGGATATTGGACTCGCAGTTAGGTGGCAAGAATGACAACCCCAAATGAATAATAATGTTGCTCTGTAACTCCTGGATGTGTAAATATGCAACTGTTTACTAAGGTGATGATATGTCAGTGTCGTGTTCACAACTTGAACACAACATTTGCCCCCAAATGGCTGAAAAACCTGCAAGTTATTGCAGGTTTAATAAGAAACGCTACAGCTGTCTCTTCTCATTTCTCCCTCCTATAATTATCTTCATATCTGGGGAAAAATATTTTTTTTTACATAAAGCCCATACTGACACATGTTCAGTTCACAAAATTACATTTTCAATATTTTAAATTTTGCAGGGCTGCAGATAAAATAAAAAGGTTGAATGTGGTTAAATTACAGTTTGTTAACTACGATAGGACTTTAAGAGCAAACTAATCTTACATTATGTGATAACCTCTTAACTGGACTCAATATATGTCTATAATTTAGGTAAATATGAATTTCTTCTCCTTTTCTTTTCCCCCCTTCTCTATCTCTCACTTTCTCTATATAGCCCTTTGTGGAGGTTATGTCTACGGTAAAATAGGGATGATTCTGTCTCCTGGCTTTCCTGACTTTTACCCCAATTCTCTTAACTGCACCTGGACTATAGAGGTGTCTCATGGCAAAGGTAAGAACACACACATACATTTACACATTGCATTTACACTCAATATGTTGCTGGATATGTGTTTCTGGTTTGGTGTCTGTGTTCATGTTCTGCCATTTATGTTTCTGTGACTAACTGCGTATCTGTCCATCCATTCATGCAACCATCTGTCCATTCGTCCATTCATCCATGGATTTCTAGGAGTCCATCTGGTTTTCCACACGTTCCATCTGGAGGAGAACCATGACTACCTTTCCATCACTGAGGACAGCAACTTCCAGGTTCCAGTAGCTCGACTCACTGGCTCAGTGCTTCCCCCTAGCGTCAAAGCGGGGCTCTATGGAAACTTCAGCGCTCAGCTACGTTTCATATCAGATTTTTCGATGAGTTATGAAGGATTTAATATTACTTTTTCTGGTAAGAAACCAATTTTTGTTAACATATTTGTAGCAGTCAAAAAATCAACCTAAAAGCTTTCTTACTCTATTTACAGAATAGACATAACCTGCCTTTTTAGCCAGACATCGAGACTGAGACTGAACTGATATCATAAACAATGATGGCAGAATAATGTGCCTTATTAGCAGATCAGAATACAACTATATAAAGTAATCCTGAGGTTGACAAAACGTTTAATTGTAGTTTGAAGGTTCTTTGTCAAACTGTAACAGATACAATAGATGTAAACACCAATTGTAGGCATTTTTAGGCTGATTCATGTTCTAATCATTGTCATAGAGCTGTGCTGTGCAAAGCTGTAATGGGAAATAACCCACTTTGTACTTTGCGGTTGGTAAGAATCACAGTTTTCTTTTCACACCAACTGCCACAAGGGGCAACGTTGAGGCCATACAAATATGACTTCTTAGCTACCATGCTATCAATTTGGTTTCAGGTCTCACACCACAATTTCTTTCTATTGACCTTGTATTTCTTAATCTAGCCTGACTATTAACGCAGTTCCTGTACGTTTCGCACCTCTCTGACTCCTCAACAATATTATCTATGTCTCATGGCTGTATAGAATATGACTTAGAGCCATGTGAGGATCCCGGCGTACCGGCGTACAGCAGGAGGATGGGATTCAGATTTCAAGTTGGCGACTCGTTGGCCTTCACTTGTTTGGCTGGCTACCGACTTGAGGGGGAGAGCAAGATAACTTGTCTGGGAGGAGGTAGAAGAGTCTGGAGCAACATACTACCGAGATGTATAGGTAAGACAAACTCACTAACTTGTGTCTCACTGAAAATGAAAAACCATTGACACTGCATCCAAAGCAATCAGGCTATAATTACAGACATGTGGGTGTCCAGATTGTGAGCATTACACTGTATAGTCATGGACCTTTCCTTATACAACATTATTTTATTTATATATGCAAGTAGTGGTGTTGAAACTAGCCTTTCAAAAGTGTTTCTGCTTTCAATATTTATAGTTTTCATCTGTTATAAATAACTGGCTGCTTGTAAAATAGAACTTTCAAATCATCTTTTTCACCATAGGAATAAACCTAAAGTCTCAGCATTTTCTTGGTTATAATTCACCAGTATTTTTATTACACAAAGGTAATTTACTATTATTTGACTGGTTGACAGTTGGCTTTATTTGCCAGGATTTGTCTGTTCGCAGGTTGTAATTTGCTGTTATTTGATGAGTATCAGTGTTTCCTTGGATGCTGCTGGTAATTTATGAGAGTCTGACTGTTGGCTAATGGATATTTTCAAGCCCCAAAAAAGACAAGACCGAAAATGCTGTAATAGCAGCTGGCAACATTCAGTTGGTTCATCTCTCCCTCTATTTCTTTCCAAATGTCCCTCTCTTTAGCACTCTGTCTCTCTTTCTAACAGCTTCTCGTTGTCTCCCTTTGTATTTAGACAGTCCTTGGGTAGATAATTAGAGCATTAGCTGCTATATGAAGAGTGTTAATACTGTGTCTTTTGTTACTCCCCTTTTCCCTTTTCTAATTTTACTCGGCATACTTTCAAAAGGCCCATGTCTGTCTTGGTTCCTATGCTATCTACTCTTATTTTCCACCTCTTCCAGCTCTCTCTTTATCCCTTTCTTCTCCCCCATTCACTACCCTGCATTTTCTCACTCACTCTCTCTATAGTGTTGTCCTCACTTTCAAAATATTTTCTGAAGAATTGCTTTTAACATTCTTGAATATATACTTCATATCTCATACCCTAATCTGCTTCTAAAACTGCAGAACACGGTTTTCAAAAATGTTTTAAATTTGTTCAGATTTGATAAACTGCATCATTTTTCCCCTTCGTTTTCTTCTCAGTGAGTTCCACATTGTTCCACACCAGCTTCTCTCTTGTCTATGTCATTACTTCAATCTGCTCTTTGTCTCTTCCAAGTAGTGGTGGTCCTCCTCAGTGGGAGTTAAAAGCCTGCCTTTATCCTAACTCAATTTACATATGACAAAACTCTATTTGCACAGAGTACCACTTATTTTAATTCCTAAACTTTGATAGGCACTGCACCTGCTAGATAATTCTGTATAATTTATATGAAACACTTTTTCAAGCAAACTTATCCTGCCCTGCTTTTATGCAAATATTTTCATTTTGCTCTCCTTTTAATCTTTTGCAGTTTATGTTTAATTGCTTTCCTTTTGCGTTTTGCATTTCCTCATCCTTGTCTTAATTGTCCTTTCAGACAAGTGCTTTTCAGCTATGTTATACTGTATGACTTATTGTCACTATCATCATTATTATTATCAAGCATAAGGTTTGTGGTTAGACTTTATGTACTCTTCTCAAATCTCATGTTGAATTGGGTGTCCTATCCTCTGTTTTTTTGTACAATAAGACAACCCAGATTTTCTGGCTGCTCAAAGATAATTAGGTAGAAATGCTATGATCTTGATCCACACTGTCCCTGCCCCCTTTACTCTCTTGCTGTAGCGGAGTGTGGAGCTTCCTCACTGGGACCAGAAGGCGTTCTGCTCTCTCCTAACTTCCCCTCCAACTACGATAACAACCACGAGTGCATCTACCGCATCACCACCGAAAAGGGCAAAGGAATCAGGCTGAAAGCTGAGAGCTTCTCGTTGCAAGACGGAGACTATCTCAAGGTATGCACACACACACACACACACACACAAAGTATGACAAAGCTTTTCCCAATCAGGTGGAAAAAAATACATAAATACATGCAGTGTTTACAGATTCAGAGACACATGCACAGGATTACAGTCATAATCAAAAGCTGTCTATATGCAAAGCACATATATGTTTGAACAGATTATTATGTGTTTGGTTTATTACCAAATGTGCTGAAAAGAAAGCAATAATTGAGTTGTGGATGCTGACATGATCATAAACACAGTAACATGATGTGCTGGGGAAGAAAAATAAACCACAAAAAGTGTTTGTTGTTGTGATCGCACACTTAAAGATATATGATCAAGGATCTGTTATTAAAATTGTCATGTACAACACATTTCCATCAGTGCTTCATCAGGCAGTGGATTACATGTGTGCAACCGTCTTTCTATTTTAACAACAAAGTAATTCTTCATCTTGGCTTCAAATGGCAGAGTACCGAAGTCTAATAATCTCTCTGGTGACATGATTTCAGATATCATTCAGTAATATAACAAGAAATATCATAATATTCAACCTAGTTTCAATTAATAATAGCCATGAAGTGGCTTCCTATAAGCACAGTACTAATCAAGAGGTTCAGCAACCTGCATGATGCCAGAACAATTTGAACACATATTTCAGGGAGGTTTCCATGCTTTGATTGCTCCCTTTTCTGTGTTTGACACAAAAGCAAAGAAATGCCTTGAATAACAATTTCTCATCTATACATTGTAGTTTTTTTTTTGTTGCAATCCTCTCAGCCCCTCCCTTGTACAAGCTTTTGTCCAAGCCAAGCACACCTGGTCCAATTAAGATATCAGGGAAGTGTAATCTATAATTACGTATATGAGGTGCACAGAAAAAAGGCTTGAGTGAAAACTTGAACGACAGCAGGAGCTTTGAGTCTTGGTTGAGCCAGTATGTAGCTAAATTGTATTAGCAAGGTGCGCCCTAGATGTTTGATGTGTTAAACATTGTTGTAAGAAGCCGTAACATCCCTGCAGGGGTTTATTATCCATGTTCTCGATTAGTGCTGATGGTGCTCCTGCTGCAGTGGCCATCAACGGCTGAATGAATACTTGGCAAACAGAAGCACAAAGTGATCCATTCAGCCTCTGTTAACCCTCTAACAAACCCACTAGAGTGTATTATTGTTGTATTTAGGTTAACCTTGGTTTTTATACACTTTTATTGAGTGTGATATGTGGTAAGACTAAGTAAATAAAATAGCTATAGAGTAGACATGTATTTTTATCTTTATTTTTTATTTGCACAAACATATGACTTCATGAAATCAAGATAAAAGGAGAGGTCAAGAAGCCACAGGCTTATACAGCAGACCTACAAAACAACAAAAGGAGAAAAACTAACAATAACAAAAAAGGAAAAAGAAACCAAGCTTACATATTTTTTTAAAATACATTAAGAAATAAAACAAGAATCACACAAAATAAGCAAAAAAACAAACCAATTAGTAGACAACAATCTAATAAAAACAAATAAATACATGAAAAACAATACCCGGAAAAGGAAGAAGAAAACGCGTCAGGAGAAAAATTTGAAATCATGTGAATTGTTTAAAATGTTCTAAGTATACTGAAAACGGGTTATTTGGCATTCCATATCTGTACACCACAATATCGGTATTGGTCATTTCAATTTAAGAAGTTGATGATTGTAGAGAAAAAGGCAAGAACATATATTTATTTATGAACGTGCATGTCTGATGAATATTTATGTCATATACTGAAATCATTTTCACTTTCCTGAATAGTGGAACAAAACAGTATTATTCACACAATGTGTAAAACTGCCTGTATGCCAGCTTGTGTTCCATGACTGCATCAAAAAATTATTTGTATTTAGACATATGCCTCAACTATCAATTTTTGTTTTGTTACAAAAAGCACCATATTTACTGAGCATGTAATGTCAGTTGTAATTGGTGTGATATGCACTTGAACGCACTGCTACAAGTTTGACATGCAATGTGTTCTTATGGTTCTTCTCACAATATATACTGTATAAAGGGAAATTCATTTGATGTGCATACACGTATACATCATCGGATGTGCATACATTTGTACGTTTTAAATACAATGAGAATTACAGATGTTCCCAAGTCTCATAATTCCTCATAAATCCTCTCTCGGGTCCATGTGCCCACTTGAGTGTCCGTCAGGAGCAGCTCTGTGATCTGTTTTACAGTCTTGATGCTGTCCTACAGACATCGTCTAAAACTTTTTCAGCTCACAATGTCTCCAAGCGGTATTAGGCCTGAGGGCATGGTTAAGCCAGTATGTGGTTAGTGTATTATCAGTATAAGGCCTAGAGCATAGGCTGAGCCTGTCTGTGGGTAGATTGTAGTAGCAGGGCTCTCCCTGACTTTCAGAGAGGTATAACAGAATCGTAAAGGGGGGAAATGTTCCCAGTAGGATAGATACAGTGTTAAAGACAAATCCCTTAAAGGAAAGGAAGGTGTCATCAAGATGGTTAACAGAAGTAAACATGCTTAAATACTACTTATGCAGTATATTCCATCAAAGCCTTAAAAAAGGCATGAAGAAAAGCCTTCTGAGGTTTTCTTTACTTTCCAACATGCTTTGCTTTACACAGCAGACCCCCGCCCAGTTAAAAGTGTCATTGTGTCTGTAATTCAACAAAGGGATGCAAACACCAAGACTGGAGAGCAGAGCTTCTTTCAAATTATGATTGTTCTTCACAAGGCATTTGACATGGTATTTACTGTAATAAATTGATTCCTTATGAGAAAATAACAGAAAGAGAGGAATAGAATTCAGAGAATGACTCGAGATCACAAAAGTTAATGAGGATGCACTGGATGCTAACATAGCAATCAAAAAGTCATGGGAGGCCCCAAGACTGATTGCAAGAATGACAAACAATGTTCAACATAGGGCACACAACATTATTAGATTATTGGCTTCAGTTTGGCTTCAAATTACTGATAACAAATAACTTTTTTAATTAGATGATAAAGTATGTTTTTCTTTGCAGTCATTTCCCCTCCCTGTACAATCCAACCGCTGCAATACAGTGCCGTATGGTGATGTACATGCAGTACAGTATGTACAACACTCTGATGTTTATACAACACACGTTTGACCAGTAAGGCATTTGTTATATGTAATATGTAGGCATTGGCAGTAAAAATAGTTAAGTGGCCTCTGCATTTTTTTTAAATTCAACAGTTTTTTCCCCTCTTTGTGTAATGGGCATACCAGCTAAATGAGGCTGCTATCATAGCTATTAACCTTTGGTCTGATAAATTATGTAGAAAAAACCAACAAAATCAAGCAGTTTGGACTAACACATTTTTCACTCTAACATCCGTCATTTAAAATAATATAGGGTACAGTCAAAAATGATTATGTTAAAAAGTAGTAATTATGCAAAATATAGAAGGTGCTTGATGTGATGAGATTAGTTGTACTATCGGCAACTTGTGTGATGGTATGGAAATGTATTATAATGTACAACATGTCTATTAATTACAATATTTCCAAAGAATTTGCAGAAAGCATAGTGGAAACTAAATTTAACTGGAAAGAAAGCCCCAAAGTGCCACATAGGCTAGCAATTAGCATGCCACTCCCCAGGCTAACAGCATTATAGCTAATGCATGTTACTGCAGCTGAACACAAACCATTTGTTCGACAGTTCCAGCAAGCTTTAGGCTAAAATATACTCTAACATATGAACCAGCTCATTACAGTTTTGCTACTTGCTAGGTTTTGCCCTGGCACTTGTTAAAGAAAGGGCTAGCAGAGCTCAAAACCCCTAAAAATGTCCTCTACAGTGCTTGACCAAATTTACTCAGATGTATTCCAGCCCTGAAGAAAAACGAGAGGGTGAGACAGAAACAAAGTAAGGGTGTGCAGGAATTGTGCAATGAAAATAAAGGTGGTTAGCGAGAAAGGGAGAGAGTAAGAAGTAAGAGAGAGGAGGGGTGGCAGATGGTGACATGTTGATTTATGAGCTGCAGGGCTTTTCATTAACCATACGGAGTTTTACTGAAACAGAGAGGAGGAGAGAACGATAGAGAGAAAGCAAGAGAGAAACAGAATGTAAGAGAGAGAGACAGACAGACAGCAAGCTGCAAAATTGGGGGACACTAACAGATACAATTTGTGGGTGGCAGGGAGGTAGGAACAGGGAAGGAAAAACAAGTTTAGGGGAGTAATGCTACAAATACCACTCTGATTTTCTTTTTACTTTTAAACACACATTACACTCACATTTTCCTTTCCCATGTCTCTCTATCTTTGTCAGATTTATGAACATACTGTAGCTACTTTGGTTTCACGAAGAGGCGTCTCTTCTGACTGGCAGTCGAGATACACAGTAGGCTACATCACTTTAGCCTTTTTTATTTTTTGCATTCCTGCCACCTGCAGACCCGTCACCACCAATCTGTGGAAATGTCCCAGGCTGCAAAATATAAGCATGGACAGTTCACATTTATACACCAGCTGTGCGATAGCATTATGAAGTACTTCAGAGTGCTAATTCTCCCTTCACACTGCAGTAAAAAATAGACTGCACTTCTTTACTGAAGTCTCCACTGTCCACATTACAGCTGCATTCAGATATTTTTGACCACTAGCAGAAAAAGGTTTCTCAGTACCACATACATTTCTCTAACCTCTTCTGCTGTACAGTATGTTAGCTTACTTGAGTTTCAAATAAATAAAATAAATCTGTTAGCTGTGTATTGAGTCATGTTTTGGAGAAAACACAGGTATAGAAGATACTGTAGTGTGCACATATTTGGCAAGTGAAAATGCTGCTGTAGTGATTTGTACACATCAACCGTTCAATTGGACACTGTTGCACTCTGCCCAACTTTCTTGTGTTGCCAAGTTGCAAAGATCTTTCTGGCAGCCATTACTGTACTCTCAGTGTCCACTTGTCTCACAGTGCTCATTTGAAATAAATGACTTCCAGTTGTCGTGTCTGTTGCTTGTGCTGCCTCTGTGAGCGTACAGCTACAGGTTGCTGATGAAGATAAGAAAAATTCTAAGGAGACCAAAAAGAAAGATTGAATCTAGCAAGAAGGCTAAAATGTTAACTTCCTCATGAATTTCATAATTCTTACAATGGAAAGAAGAACAAGCTTATCAACAAGGGGAATACAAGCCACGTATATCCTTCAATATTAATGCAGTCCAATGTTTTTATATTGTTGTACATCTAATCAATCTTGTCTTCACTTCCACTGGGAGCTTTTTAATACGCACGACAGCATTTCAAACCAAGTCTCACACACTCAAGGCATTGCCTTGTTGTTTTTACCTCAGTGCTTTGTAAACAGCTGATAACCTTTTATTTCATTTGTGTCTGAAATTGTTGCAATAGAGCACCGTAACAACTAACTTCTGACCTCAGCAACTTCCATGTGATATTTTTGGCTCTATCTTTGCGGTGCTTCACAAGGTCCACGCTGATGCAAAGCTAAGCAAAGTATCTATTTCCTGAGGCGCAGTGAGGTTTTCTGTTCTTTGCCTTGCTTCTGTTGTTTGGCATTTGAATGACTCACTGTGTGTTGCAGAGGGGAGGCACAGGCAACACACCAGTGCCCTGCCATTTCGGTTTTAGGACTGATCACATTTTGTGGTGTTCTTTTTTCCAGACCAGGTCAGCGATGCACTGTTCATCTGAGTTCTGTCACATTGTCGTTAATTAAATTGGTAGATCTGCACCCACAACCTCTACAAACACTTTTGATGCATGTTTTCATTCATGTTCTGTGGTCCTGTGCTTGGATTGACAGGTGAACGATGGAGAAAACACTTCATTCCGTCTCCTTGGCAACTTTACACATGATGGCATGATGGGTCCTGTCATCAACAGTACGTCCAATCGCCTGTGGCTTGAGTTCAACAGCAACGCCTCTGGAACCAATCAGGGCTTTCGCCTCACATACACAAGTGAGTTGTTCTTAGAAAGTTTGAAGTGGCAAACCTCAAGATTTCAGTCTGGTTGATTTTGAATTTCTATTTCAGTGAAATCAATAGAATTGTGCTTAGAGTTTAGCAGTCTAAGTATTTCGTTGATACATGAGCTTCAAATTTTCAGAATTGTGTTTGTAGTAAAAATATTTGTGTATACACAACGGAGAAAAACTTTATTGGGCCGTTCACATTTTGGGTCTGAAAATGCTTGGTAAACATCAGCTGTGCCACTTTAATTTTTTCATCCAAGGTGTGCTGGGAAGGTTGGGTCCCGCTGTACTAAGCAACCAAAACCTGCGCTCTGCGATGATGATGATGATGAAGTTGCGGTAATTTAGCTGTAAGCCTCACTGACTCAACCAAACAAAGTCAAAACAGAGATAAATTGTTTTCCAGCACCCTAAATCTCTCACAGCAGCTTTGCTGTTTGATTTGATTGATTGTTTGATTTTGAACCGGATGTTATGGTGTCATTGGAAGGAAACAGTGAAACAAGTAAAATATTCCGTGGGACAGACCGTAAAGCTCTGGATAGTCCTGAACTAAAAGGATTACCTTCTCATATGTATATATTTATATATAGTTACCGTAGACTAATATTTACGGAGGACGGAAAAGGTATCTGCAGGCTGTGATTGGTTATTCCTTGTCACATGTCATGTGGTGCGCGCTGCAGAGATCCAAAAGTTAAACTATTTCTATCTCCGGGCGCAACCATCGTGCCCTGAAAAACAGAGCTTGGGAGTGTTTGGGCACAGTGACGGTTTCGTTCTCACTTCTGAGCATCTTCATTGACAACAATAGATTTGAGGGCACAAAAAACGGGCCATGTGAAAGGCTCCTAATACCGAATCGTTTCCAAGAAGGTTGCCACAGACACCCATTTCATAATACTGAAAAAACATAGGGCTCAATCACCATTCCTTTACCTCCATCATCTATAGACATTCATTCATTAAATGAAAATCTTCAAGATTGCTGCTTTACCTTAGGATCAACTAATTACAAACTGCACAGCAATAAAGATTGTTTTCTATATTTAATGGTACAGCCATGCTGTGTGGCAAAAGAAAGAAAGCAACCCTCTCTCCCTCTCACACAGACACACACTCATAGTTTTCCACATGCACACGAACGCACACTAACAGTAATTTCCTAGATTTTAAGTAGCTCATCATGAAGGTCCTTGTAAGGAGATGTTTTTAATTGAAAACTAGAGTGGTAGTGATTGTGTTAGATTGCACTCATGAATATATCCTCCATCTGTCCTGTGCCTCAGTCAAGTGATTCTTAAGTGCTACATACGAGAACATAATAGGAGACATGTACTACAAAAAACTTGTCTTTCTCCGTCAGCAGATTACCAAGCTATTCCTTTCCCTTCTCACAGCTGATACAAAAGATCAACAATCGGTTTTCCAAGAAATTTCTCTTGAAGTTGGAGTCCAAAGTGCAACAGTTGTTTACCAAGCAGAAAAAAAGAATTGAGTTTATAAATGCTTGACACACAGACACACACACACACACATGCATTTTAATGGCTTTAAAGACAGTCTGTTAAGAAGGCAGGACCAGCTGCTGTGTAAGTCAAAGAGGCTATTAGAGGACCATTTATCTGCAAGTCATTAAACAAAGAGGAAAAAGTGACATCTGGAGTGGAAGAGTGACTGGACGGAGGGACAAGCGGATGACGGGAGGTAGTATATGGGGACTAGATGGATGCTCTGTATGTCAGTGAAACCATTAGACAGCCGTTAGTCTGTAAGTCATTAAACTGGAGAATGTGACACCTGTAAAGTTCTGTTACAATGGATGAGCCGATGGATAGATAAGAGAGATTGATACAAGGTTTACACAGGAAAAAGCAGAACGAAGCATCTGATCAAGATAAGCAGCGATAGTTTTTAAAATAGGGTCAAGGACTTGAGTAAAACTGCCTCTATAATACACAGCTTTAGAGGCTATTTTAATAGAGTAATACAAGTTCAAACATCTGTTCAAGATATTAACAAGAAAGGGTGACGGTGATGTGCAACTGTTTTCCTGAAATGGATGCAGGAAGGGATAAAGAGTTGTAGGCACACCTCACAAAACTTTCAAAAAGTTGCTGGCTTAATAACAGATGTTATAACAAGGTTGTTACAAGGAGTTATGATTTTGTGTCTTGATTCGGTCCTTAAATAACTGATGATATTTATTGTTTTTCACATGATTACATCACTCAACAGTCAAGAGGATTGGTGGAGATCGCTGTTGTTTAATCAAATGATTAAGCGACACCCTCTGCCAAGAAGACTGCCAAGTTTTTACTGACTATGTATCTTGAAATAATATTTTGTTAACATGTTAAAAAAAACTGCTTAGGATAGTGATCGATTCACTGTTCATTGTCCATTACAAAGCAACTCTGACGTTTCTGATCAAAGAAGTCAATACGAGGCTGACTTAATTATGAAAGAAATATGTTGATGTTGCTGTATCTTTGTCTTTAAGGCGAGAAACTTTTCTCTTCATCTCCCAAACACAGTGTGCTCATTCAAGTGTACAGTATATTTATGGTTGTGTGGGATGTGAAATTATCATTTGATGTTTTTCCACAGTTTCATATAGAAACCAACTTTTCAGTCCAGGAATATAATTGCTGTTACTGCTCACTACACATGATTATATCTTTCAGAGACGGGAGAAGCCCACACAGGTTGTTTTTTAATATCATAGAAACAAGCATGTGGGTAGAATAAGTTGAAATGTCCAGTAGCTTTCACTGCAGCTGTCACATCGTATATCAGCACTAACAGTGAGTGTCAAAACTTGAAATTTGTGCAAGAAGTAGTGGGATTCAAGAGAAGAATAGTGTGACCTTATGTCCTCTTGTCTAAAACTGCTCTGAATCACCCTGTTCATTTATGCAATGTTTTCTTACTGCATGGACAGAAAGACCTAATCTGTATGCGTGTGCATACCTGTTTCTGTATTTCTGTGTGTCTCTCTCTTTAGGTTTTGACCTAGTACGCTGCGAAGAACCAGGTGTCCCTAGTTATGGCTATAAGATCCAAGACGACGGCCACTATGCCAACACCTTTGTCCTGTACTCCTGCAACCCTGGATACAGTCTCTATGGCGCCAGTACCCTGACCTGTCTCAGCGGGGACAGACGTGTCTGGGACAAACCTCTTCCTTCCTGTATTGGTTAGTATGACAACACGTGTAGGTTCTACGTGCTTCAATAATTCAGAACTACGATATCTGACTTATTAACTTTCAATTCAAAGAGAAATATAGCATGGAGAAAAGCAGCAGTCAAAGCTACTTGTATCTGTTTCTCAGCTCCAGCAAGAGCATGATGATTTAACAGAGAGAGAGAGAGAGAGAGTGAGTGAACGAGTGATTAAGTCAATACAGGTGAATACTTTGAAAAGAGGGCATGGGGACTGAGTCAATGCTCTGTGGGAAATATAATAATATGTTAGCGCTGCTGATACACCTTTGTGAGTAGAAAAAGCCCTTGTTGATCCATCAACCTGTGCACACAAAACCTTCTGAGCATGGACAGCAGGATGTCACTTGGCATGATATTATAGTGCACCAGGCTTTTGTGCATTTTATGGATGGCATGCTTTCGGTGCAAAATAGGGGAAGACTGTCTGAATTGAACTGTGATAAATGTATAATGTAAGCCAGACTACTTTCTTGTACCCTGAAGGTGTGCACAGTATTTTATGCTGAGGACGTTTTCTGTTATATTCCGAGTATGCACAATAAATAGAATATTCTATCAGGAGAGACTTTTTTCAAATGGCAGAAAATGGTGTGATGTAAAAACTATATCGATTCATCTGAAATAGAAGGGTGTCTCTATTCAAAGACTGGACAACGCAAACTGGAGTAAAAGTGCACCCATATGCACTTTTCTGTTAAACCCAAAATGTATTGCTGCATCCTACTTTTAAAGTTCTAATAATGAATTCCCCTACCCGGCATGCTTTTTTGTCAGCATAGATAAAGTAGTGGCAATAATTTCACAATTCAACTTTTGTAATTCAGTAAATTGTACAGACATATCAACTGTGATAGGATTACTTATTAGATAATTCTGACTCAGTCTTCAACAGAGAGCTACAGAGAGGGACAACAAAAGGAACAATTTATTGAAACTGTAAAAATGTTAAACTCCAATCGCACATACCGCTGATTATAACACCAAAATGTTGTGATTCTTATTGACTTTATAAGGCAGACAGCTTATTTCTGAAATGAATGGCAAGCAAACACATTAAAACAATTGTTAGGTTGTATAGAATTCATATTAATATTTTGTTGAAAGAAAAGAAAATTATTCTAGAGCTCAAAGGAAGGCTATGAGAACTAATTATCGCCCATCCATGTATCTGCTAATCTACACTCCCACAATGACATGACAAAAATAATGGTTTCACATTTGCCATACATTGAACATATTTGAATGTTTCCTAGGTTTTAAGGTAAATAAGCTGCCAGAGGGCAGGTTTAGCTTCAGTTGGTACTTGGCAAGGAATGTGCCAAACGATTCAGGTGCTTTGACGTGGTTCGTTTATGGACCTGTGAATGTAGTTCTGTGTTTCAGCTACAGGACGAACAACTGGCCACTCTGACCCCTTATTGTCATTCAGTAGCCACCAGTGAAGCATGAAGCATTGTTTGTATTGGTCCTAGCACAATTTTTAAAATCCAAAATTCCTGCTTGTTCATAGATATTTTTAGTTTTGCATTTTAAAAAAATTAAAGCACTTTCCCTGTAAGCGTTTCTACCTTGTTGGGTAGATGCAGGCACTTGGCACGTGTTTGTTCGTAATTCCCTACTGCAGAGTCAAGCCTTGTGTCTTTTTAACCTGCCAGCACACCTGAGCTCTCTAAGGTGGGACATGGCCTGATGTGGTTGCTAATGGCAACTAAAAAAAGTGTGTGTTCATAGGTGTGTGCGGTGAGTGCATGTATGCGAGTATGGCAGTGAGAATGAGTATGCGTTTTTGGCTGGATGTGTGTAAATCTCAATGTATCTGTGTGTGTGTGCGTGTGTGTACCTCTGCAGTCAGTCATTAATTTGTAGCTGCTCTGTCGCTGCCTTATTTAAGGTAAGCCAGCAACCAGGAGAATACTTGCTGGCAGAGCCCTGGGCTAACTGCCTCTATAGCTACCTTTCTATCTTCCTCCTTTGTCTGTCTGCTGGGGCGTTTGTCTTTCTGCCACTCTGACTGTCTCCTTCGCTGTTTGTCTGGCTCGGTCCCATACCTGCATGTACTAGCATGGAGATGAGGAGATGGTTTTGCCTCAGGCTGTTTCTATACTGTGTCTCTCTCTCTCTCTGTCTCTCTCTGTCGCTCTCTCTTTCCCACATTGAGTCAAACAGTGTTGGGTTCTACCTCTGACTCCTTTTGACGTTCTTTTGTTCTCTATTCATGCAGTAAACCTGGCTTCTAAACCGTCTCCATTATGTGCATGCCTCTTATTCTCTCTTTCTTTTTCTGTGACGGGAAATTGCAGTTGTCATTGGCCCAGGACTGCTGAATAACACTCACTCTTTTTTTATGCATCTTCCCCTCTCTACCTGCTTTTCATGATAAAATACAGCAGAGTAGTTTCCTTTTCACCTATGCTTTCTATCACTAAAACGACTGTTTTTTACAAGTGGGTGTATGCATTCATAAGTAGGTATGTACTTGTGTTACTACCCCTTTGTGTTTGCGTTTACATGTTAATGTGTATCTGAGAGCATGCTGCCAAGGGTAATGCAACAGCAGTAGGTTGTCGTTGTATTGTAGATTGCATAGCTGTGTTAATGGTGCATTCTTAACTCACACAAACACACAATGCAGACACTGATATAAAGCATTTTCTATACCAAACTGTTTTCAAATCAGCAGCGATGTACTGACTCAGTGGGCTACGATGTACTACCATGATGACTTCAAATCTGCTCCCAGCCTTTCCCCTGCTTCCTGCTATCTCCCCTGTTCCTCGCCAGTGAAAACAATACAAAAATAGCACACAAAGCTGTCTCTCTCTTGTGCATTAAACAGCATTTTTATCCTAAACTTTGAACACTATTGGGAGATCCTCAAGGGAACACAGCCATCAAGGTTATTCACCAACCCTGAAACAATAAAGCAGGAGCTGGGATAATTCAAGGTTGATTCAGTGATTCATGGCCTTTTTTTCCCTGCTACTCATTTAACTCAACCTTCACACCTTAGGGTAATTTACCGGAAAGTGGAGGAGCCGCCTCTTTTAGAGATTCACTGAAATGTTCATTAAATTGGAAGGAAGACCAAAAAAAATATGATACAAAGATTCCGATTGTTAAGAGTTGTCTTCACAGCTCCAACATGCTGGACACAATCCAAAAACGGACCTGTGGAAAACCTACCAGAACTCAATGTGCATAAATCAATTCTCAAGAAAGAAAGGCTGCAGTGAGGATAAGTGGGCCCAATCCAAACCAACAGTTCCTATAGTGAAGGCCACACTGGCGGCAGCATTGTGCCCTATGGATTAACAAGCCTCCCAGATAAAACGAGCAGCAATGTGATGATAATGTCATGAGAACAAATGTTAAGTCTTTTTTAAGTTCTTTCCGATATCAGAGAATGAATAGTAATTTGATGGCATACCTTTTTCATCAGGTTGTGTTAAGTTTCAGATTCACCATGACAATGCAGGTGAATTGGACCAACTTTACAGGATGTATTTTTCTTTATTTGGTCACCCTATAAAGCTGCATTCAGTGACTCATTTTCTCCAATAACGTTAAAATGTCTTGGTTGTTGAAAAGAGTGGATTGTATGGCAGAGCAATTGCTGCAAGTTGCCAACATTAGTTAATGCAGAGTTTATAATTCATAAAAACCCTGCAGCAATCCCGCAATATATAGGTTTCGCCACAATGCCATGATGCTTCTTTGTTGCCCAGTTAAATGTGTGTAGTAGTCTGTTTCGTAGTGTTGTATCTGCTGTGGTTTTGTATGTATTGCTGATTTGATGGATATATTTCAAAGGCCCTAAATAAAGAAAGGGGGGGAAATATGTCGTTTCTTTCCCCAGTAATAATTATCCCTTTGTCTCGTTTTTTTTAGCGGAGTGTGGAGGTCACATAGCTGGAGCAGTGTCTGGACGGATTCTGTCTCCAGGATATCCTGCTCCGTACGAAAACAACCTCCACTGTACCTGGACTATCGAGGCTGACACGGGCAAAACTATCAGGTTATTATGAAGCAGTTGGATATGTATACTGAAGCTACTGTGAGTATCACGATGGCCTGCTGTTATCTAGAGGTTTTTTTTTGCATTAAAGGAAACCAGCCAATATTTTGTTGTCATACAACATGAAGGCCAGTTTAACAATTATCTGCAGAATTGCTTTGTTCTGGCCAAGATGGGGTTAGCTGCCTGGCCAGTTCACTCTACTTGGACTATACAGGTAAACACTCACAAGACTGTAAAGATATGTTAACTAATTATAGATAAATGTTCGCTGTCAAAGCCCTGCCGTGTAGAAGAGTACACCACATTAGTCATTCTGACACCATCGTGTTTCTCAACAGGTTTTGGCTACTGCTGACATTGCTCTCTGTGTGTGTGTGTGTGTGTGTGTGTGTGTGTGTGTGTGCGCACGTACTAGTGTGATTTGTCTATTCTCAGCTCTGCTTCATTTGATTTAATGGTTGACTTGATTTTGGTAAAACTGCTGAATTTAGAACAGTTGTTAACGTTTGTAATGGATCTCTGATCTCCTGTGTGATTTCTGTGTTTTCTCAGCCTCCACTTCATCGTCTTTGACACTGAGGTCGGCCACGATATTCTGAGAGTTTGGGATGGTCCATCTGGGCCATCAGACGGGGGGATCCTGTTGAAAGAATGGTCAGGCCCAGCCTTACCTGAAGATATCCACTCAACGTTCAACATACTCACACTGCAGTTTGATTCTGATTATTTCATCAGCAAGCAAGGGTTTTCCATACAGTTTTCCAGTAAGTAGACTTATCTTTAATTCAGAGTTAATACACCTACTTTATTACATAATCATCAACTTGGAATTCACATGGTGGAGGAAACTATGAAAAGTGTGCCATGATTGTCCTCAATCACAGATTTGGGTGGTCTGTCTCACTCTATCCCAAACATCCATTTGTAAGGGAAAAATCAATTACTGAATTAGCAATTAAATTAGCTAATTAACAAACTCCTCACACATATAGTTTTAGTTATTATATAAACCTCATTTACATTCGCTATTAGAGAAATAGTCTCGGATCAATGCTGCGTTTAACAGGATTTCTGAAAAACGTAAAGCCAAAGAATCATTTGAAAAATTAATATTTCGCCCTGGGACCACTCTCAAGTACTCAAGGAGCCCAAGAGAGACCTGTGGTTCAGTTTTGGATGTATCTCACAGTTGGGAAATCAGGAAGTGCAGTAAAAAACCTATGAGTGCTGATTCTTCTCAGGTTAGTGATCTATTTAACATAATCGTGAGATGTTGCTTTGAGAAATTATACTTTTTTTGTCACAATTACACAAAGAGATGTCAATGAACACAAACTATTGCTGTGGTTTCTTCCCTTTTTTAAGACAAAGAATAACCTGGACAATAGCTGTGTCCTTTGGTTGCAGGAATGGCTTTGTGAGCCACTGAACCCAAAAATGTCCGTTCACCCGTCCATTTAGAATCATGGACCAAATTCACTGCAAACCACTGTAGAAGCAAAATCAATCAGAGGCAGACAGTCATGACCATATTTACTTCATAACTGTATTTTCATAACAGCGCATCCACACACACACACACACACACACACACACACACACACACACACATTATTGTGCTTGCATATCTTTGGATATCCATTCATTACTTATGCAATTCATACAAACACACATACTGAACACCTAACTCTGCATGCAGAAGCGTGCATACACAAAGTCAACCACACATAACTGTCAGAACTTTTTTGTTTAGATAGATGCAAATTTCCAGTCATAAGTATTTACATCCAATGCTTTCTCTCTCTCTCTCTCTCTCTCTCTCTCTCTCTCTCTCTCTCTCTCTCTCTCTCTCTCTCTCTCTCTCTCT